CCCAAGAAAACTCTTCTTGTCATATTCAAACCACCTGAACACACCCCGCAATCACATCATACTCGTCATATAGCCATCCAGCCACACATTGAGCCACAAATTCCACCCATAGGGACACTACCGGATATGTAAGTCCAAAATCACGTGCTCACACAACTGAAATCCCCGTGCTCAAGCTATAATCAAAACCCGGCATCAAGTCCTCCAGACTGGCTCATTATCAGCACATCGAAATCACATCTCGCACCTCATCCATGGATTCATAAGTCGTCGATGCACAACTGATACCAAGCACTCACATGTGCACACGAATGCGTGGAAGGGATTCAAAGAGTTACGCTTCAAGCTGAATCAATGCAGCATGATAAGGAAAGAAAGATGGGAAGTTTATCCTAAATGCCATGTAGACTCTCGAAGATAGGCATGGACGTCATCATACCGATCCGTAAGACTCTACTAGACACTTGCTCATGACTCGTAGAACCTATGAACCTAGAGCTCTGATAACAATTTGTCACGATCCAAAATCCAACTAGTCGTGATGGCACCTAACCTAACCCGCTAGGTAAGCCAATTGACCACTATCCAATGTAGTGAGAATTATTAAGAGGAGAAAACGATAATACAACTAATTTTATACAAAGAATTTCCCAATGACAGTACAAATCATGAGTTTCTAAGATTTAGATTTTTACAAGACTGGATTAAAATGGTTACAACATTTATTTTTGAAATGTAAATGAACAGAATTTGAATCTAATGCTACCAAGGACAATCGATAGCCATGATTGGAACGCAGGAATATCTTCAGATCCAGCTCCCGTCGTACGCAACAACATCAACATCCAACATCTCCATGCAAGGTACAGAAGTGTAGTATGAGTAAAATTGACCTCATGTACTCAATAAGTGACAAACCTAACCTTAGGTTGAAAGTAGTGACGAGCTGGGACAACGGTTAGAGTCCAACTCCAATAACCAACAACAATTCATAACAATATTATATAGATGGTACAAGAAATAACTCAGCTCCTCTACAGTTACGGAAAATAGGCATGCTTTTCAAGTATACAGTAAATCTCAAATCTTTTACCGAAAACACCAAACATATGAGTAAGTTTGAAAACTTTGATTTTTCCCAAACACTTTCAACAATAGTTAAGAAGTCTCATTATTAGATGGCATGAGGAAAGTACATCTCTATGCCTACATGTCAATGTGCACGTGAATGTCATAAATGTCACGAAACTGTGTAACATGAGGGAATGCATCTCTAAGCCTGTGCCCCAAGTATACGTGTCAATGCAATGCACCACAGTGATGAACTCATGTACCCACACTCTTAGAGTACTCAATCTCACTATAACGGAAAATAGGCAAGCTTTTCAAGTATAACAATAAATCTCAAATCTTTCACCGAAAACACCAAAAATATGAGTAAGTTTGAAAGCTGTGATTTTTCTCAATAACTTTCAACAAATGTTAAGAAGTCTCATTATCAGATGGCATGAGGAAGTACATATCTATGCCTACATGTCAATGTGCATGTGAATGTCGTAAATGTCACAAAACCGTGTAACATGAGGGAATGCATCTCTGAGCCTGTGCCCCAAGTATACATGTCAATGGAATGCACCACAGTGATGAACTCATATACCCACACTCTCATAGTACTCAATCTCACTCTCTCACACTCCCGCTGAATCACCCAACACAGTCGGTCACTCGGCACTGTACGGTACCTGCTGTGGCGCAGCCCGATCCCATCATGAATTAATAGAACCTGCGCTCACTATGGGTGTGCAGACTCTGGAGGGGCGTATCCTGCCGAAGCGCTAATATAACCTGTTGCGGCGTGCAACCCGATCACATATAGCCCTGTTGCGGCCGTGCAACCCGATCCACACACACACACATACGCTCGCACACACACACACACACACATTATATATATATATATATATATATATATATATATATATATATATATATATATATATATATATATATATATATATATATATCCATAAGGCTTGTTGTGGCGTGCAATCCAATCCAAAATATATATATATATAGCCATAAGGCTTGTTGTGGCGTGCAGCCTGATCCATACACACACACACATACATATATATATATATATATATATATATATATCAGCCCGATCCCATCAATATCACTCACAATCTGGCCCGCAGGCCCCAACTCAGTCATCAATCTCTCCAGTCTCTCGGGATCACAAATCTCATGCCAATCAACATAAATAATGACAACAATATGATGTGACAACAAATGATAACAGAGACTGAGATATGGTATGTAAATGAATGAAGATGACTGAGTATGTAGATGCAATTTAAGCAAATAACTCAACAACAGAGATGACCTCAGTAGGTACCAACAAAATAAGCATAGAGCCTAAACATGATTTCTAATATGATTCACAACTCAGTTTCTCTAACACGTGAAAATTTCATGGATAGAAACAAGATTAGGTAATTACACAGTATCATAGAATCAACCGAGTCATAATTCACGCGGTGCATGCCCACACGCCCGTCACCTAGCATGTGCGGCACCTTAACACTAAGCACGTAACATGTGCATTCAGAGGTTCATACCCTCAACACCAAGTTTAGAAGTGTTACTTACCTCGACAAGCCAAATCCTAAATCGAGCAAGCCAAACGCTGCTCCAACATGCCATCCCGCACGTACCGACCTTCGAACGAATCGAAACTAGCCAAAAGCAACTCAAATACATCACGTAATGCCAAAGGAAACAAATCCAATCGATTAAAGTCGAGTCTCTAATCAAAAGCCCAAAATCAACCAAAAAGTCAAACCCGGGCCCGCGCCTCAGAAACCGACAAAACTCACAAAATCCGGCAACCCATTCAATTATGAGTCCAACCATACTAGTTTCACTCAAATCCGACTCCAAAGTGATGTTCAGAACTCAAAAATTCACTCTATGAAACTTTAGGCAAAAACTCCCAATTCCATCTTTAAAATTCATAATCTAAATGCCATCGAAGATAGATTTATGAAATATATCCAAAACCGAGTAGATAACACTTAGCCCAATCCATGTGGTGAAAAATACTTCAAGAATCGCCTCAATCCGAGCTCCATATCTCCAAAATATGTAAAAAATAGCCGAAATCCCCGAAATAGAGTACTTTATAATCACTGGACGAATCAATGAATCGCGGTCGCGGAAATACCCTCGCGATCGCGAAGAAGAAAATGCACTGCCCTTGAAAATATACTACGTGATCGCGAACAAACCTCAGCGATCGCGATAGACGACCAGCACTGCCTCCACATATACCCTACGCGATCGCGTAGCTAGCCATGCGAACGCGAATAAGAAAGAGCCTCTGCCTAGCTCAGTCCAAACCACTACGCGAACGCGTGCACCCTTGTGCGAATGCGATGAAGACCAGCCTCCTCCCTGTGCGAACGCGTGCATACTCTCGCGAACGCGGAGAGCAAATTTTCGCAGCAGACCAAAACACCTTACGACCATCGCGGCCAAGCCTTCGCGATCGCGAAGAACGCCAGAAGCAACAGGTAACAACAGAAACGGCAAATGAAAAACCATTCGAAATGATCTGAACTACGTTCGAAACTCACCCGGGCCACCCTGTACCCCGTCTGAATATGCCAACAAGTCCCATAACATATTATGGACCTACATGAGGCCTCAAATCACGTATTACAACATCGAAACGACGAATCACACCTCAAATCAAAATTAATGAACTTTGAACTTTCAACTCCCAAAACTCGCGCCGAAACATATCAAATCAACTCGGAATGAACTCAAATTTTGCACACAAGTCCCAAATGACATATCAAAGCTATTCCAATTCCCGGAACCACAATACGAATCCGATATCCTCAAAGTCAACTTCCGGTCAAACTTATAAACTTTCCAAACTTTCAAATTTCCAACTTTCTCCGATTAGCGCCGAAACCTTCTAGAAATATCCAAATGCAAATCCGGCCATACGCCCGAGTCCAAAATCACCATCCGGACCTAAAGGAACCGTCAAAACCCCAATCTGAGGTCAACTACTAAAAAGTCAAACTTGGTCAACTCTTCCAACTTAAAGCTTCAATCATGAAGTTCATTCTTCCAAATCGATTCCGAATAACTTGAAAATCAAAACCGACGATTCACACAAGTCATAATGCATCATACGGGGATACTTGTACACTCAAACTACTGAGCGACGTGTAAATGCTCAAAATGACCTGTCGGATCGTTGCAAATGACCACAAAACACGCACTCGATAATAAGGCCCACAAGGACAACTGACGTCCCTTCACCATCGAAAGTTACAATCTTCCATTTCTTAGATAGACATCATTTAAAGTAGTAAAAAAATGGAATTATTCTCGTTACTGATGTCTTGGTTGAACTTAATTTACTTAGACCTTCTGTTGTGATACTTTTATTGACTCAATAGCGAGAGCAGACTTTGATCATTTAATTAACTTTAGGCCATAAAGTGAACTGAAGATTTGATTTGCCTCATACAATCTGCCAAGTAAAAACCAAGGAAGTTGAGAAAGAAAAAGACCAACAGTCTCAGTAAATTCAAATTCAGGCAACTTCCCAGTTAAGATTTGGCCCAGTAGATGGATATATTATGTTTAGCGCTGAGGTTTAGTAGGACAGCAGATACTAAAGTTTATCACGTACTTGTGAGGCAAGAATTCGTCGCGCTGTTTAAGTTGCAACATTTAACATCTGGGTATGTCCATATAACATACATGTATGTGCTTGATGTCTAGTATATAACAAAGGAAAGTTGGACAATGAGCTTGCGCTATTTCATTTGAATGGTGCGGACTTGTTACTTGAAGCAGCAATAACGAATACATGCTTTACTACGAGTGGTTTGAATGGAACTGCATTCTGTCTTACCGTTTTTACCATAAAATGCACTAGATCATCGCTTACTGCAAGAGGAGATCTACAACAATCGTGAAGAGAAAGCGGCAACACCCAATAGGCCAATAATCACAAATCACAAACAATAACAGATATGACAGCATAATGCGCACTGAAGAAGAAGAGAAAAAAAACAAAACCGTCAACATGTGCAAGCCTAGTAAACAAGCAAACATCAGACTGATGTGGGAGGAAGGGCAGACGACATTATTCCTCGGATGAAAAAAATCATCTCATATTCAAAGGTTGTGTCTTTTTCTTATTTTGCCTAGAAAGTGGTACTTGGATGAAACCAAACTTCTTTTTGTGAGTAATGTATTGCTTGTGTACATTCCCATCTTTCGTAGCTTTTGTAGGATTCAATATGATCCCACTTTGCTCTCGCAGCATTTGGCTAAAAGACACATGTTGTCTTTCAGTGTGGCTTTCCATATGCTTACCCACGACAATATGATCATCTCGCAAAATCAGCTTCCTGCTCAGTATATCTCCAATCGATATTGATGACCGAAAGACAGGGACAGGTTTGTCATTCATATTGTCTGGTTCACCGTTGTCAACTAGCCGAGGGTTTCCATGACTAGTATGAGATGGCTGTGGATTCCTGAACTTATATTTGGCGGAGTTATGCCCCGAGTAATGCAGTTGCGTATGCTCTGACCTCTCCCTATAGAAACCATCTTGTTCAGTAAGACTTCTTCTTTGAGTACCATCTTCATTGTCCAAAGCCTCTTCTAGAGTACTCCTGTTGTGTCTAATTTCTTTTGTAGTTTCCTCCATCTTCTTTGTAATAGCCACCTCAGTTTGATTTGCTTCATTGGTTCTGCACATAGTATTCGTGTCTACAAATTTTGTTTTGCATAGCTCTTCAGCTTGCTGTGCTTTTCGGGCAAGAGCATAATATTCTTCGTATGAAATTGTGATCCCCTCAGGTTTGTGCTGAACAACAGCTGAAGAATTCTTTCCATTTAGTAAAGCCTTTCTTTCTGCAAAAGCAATTGCTTCCACAGCTTTAGCTGCTTCTTCCATCTTTTTCGCAGCATGCAATCTCATTTCAGCCATTCTAATACTTGCCTTTGTTCGTTCGATCTCTGACATTGCCTTCATCACCTCATATCTTGAAGCTTCTGCCATTTTCTTGAATTGCTCTGCTTCAAAACTCAACTGCTTGAGCTCTTTGTTCATAGAGTAATCAAAACTGTCTCCATTTGTGTTGTTTTCCTCAATGGAGAACCCTGCTGCTGAATCGAGGGACTTCCTCTGACTGCTTCTTTCGAGCATTACCTTATCTTTCTTCATTTTGTTATTCAGTGTCTCAACAGAAGATCTAATTACAGTAAGGTCTATTGACATTTTGTTAAGGTCTAATTTTGCTTGGTTCAATTCCATTAATACATGTCCCGGGGACTGAAGTGGACAAAGACTCAAGTTTTGTGCTGACTGTTCACTAGGTGTTGGTGTTTGGCTCTCCGGATTTAAACCAGGACTGGACACAAACTCAGACACTTCTTGCATCAAATTTACTTTCAACCCTTCAACAAATCTTTTTGCTGCTTCCACTTCCCTCAAAACATTGAGGGCCTCCTGTTCCTTCACAATCAAGTCTTTCTCAAATTTTACTGCTTGCTCCTCCATTTTGCCCACGTCTACAACTTCCCTATCGTGCTGCCAACAACAGTAAAATAAAATGCTAGTACCCAATTATGCATTATCAGTAAAAAGTAAACACCAAAATGCTAGTTAGTACCCAATTATGCATTATCAGCAAAAAGTTCTTTAAATAAAACATAATATAGCTGCTTTTATGAAATGTGTGTAAAATGATAAAACACAGATGATCATCCAGCCTATGTATTATACCACCATTTTACATGCTGCTAACGCGTGTAACGGCTAATACAAAGCATTATGCACCACCAACTGTCTATCCGCAGAATTCCGGCCAAGAAGACTAATTAGATTTTGATTTAACTTTCATGTAAGTTCACCTAGTAGCATGGAAAGCAGAGAGGAAAATAGGATGTCTTGTACACAAACCAGAGTAGTAGCAGCTAAGAAGTAAACTAGGAACTTTTTAGGCATGTACGACCCCTTGTCCCCTCATCACCAAAAAATACCAACAAATGCAAAACGAGAAAAATACTCCTGCGAGTGAAAGTTTGCAACTTCATATCAGCCCTAAGCCAAGGAAATCAAGAAATAGAGAAATGCAGCATTATGCTAAGCGCACTCTTGATATTGTTCACTTTAGGCCAAAATGTGAAAGATTTTCCCAAAGAAGTCACACCATTTAGAATATCCCTTGTCATATGTAGCTTCTTTTTGTTATTGAGACTTTGTTTGCACACCAACAAACAGATCGAAAAACTAAAAAGTTAAACAAATTAAGCTGCTACAGCATAGGGTGAGTGTCACAATAACCAAGATTAGATGGTATTCTAAATGACAATTACCAAGCTTAAAGTTTGACTTCCATGTAGTTGAAATGAGATGAATTGTACTTCTTTCCCTGGCTTTAAACATTTAGAAACTCTCTGAAATGAAAAAAGACAAAGGGCAGTTTAGACTTACATGGTCGGGAGGTGGTAAACGGAGTAAGTGATGGGGAATCCAAGGGCCACTGCCCCCAAAATGGTCCACAGCCTCCTTCACCGACTCGAATGGCGGAGATGTGTCAATTTCCACTCTTGGGTTGCAGATAATCGATTCTCCATTTCCAGCCATAGAGCTGAATAAAAAGATGCACAGAAAAATGAATGCTGGTTAGAATGTTGAAGTGAGTGAATGAGGAGTTGATTAACTAGCAGGTATTTATGACAAACGCTTCATTTATAGTACATATATATATGTTTGATACTTATTCCGCTCCAAAATAAGTGAATTTGTTTTGGTTGTTTTCACACATATTAAGAAACTCACCTTGTAACATTAATTAGCAATGAAATTGACCATATTAACCTTTACTATCTCTTTATATAAACACACCTAACACATACTCCAACATCATTTACTTCAAGGGCAAAGTAGGAAAAGAATAAATCACTTATTTTAGACCACAAAAAAAAAAAAAAGCTAAAAAATTACTTATTGTGAATTGGAGGGAGTAATTCTTTAAAATGATCAACACACTCTCTGTTTTATGATGTATTAAAAATACTCTTTTACTTTCTATATTAGGAAATACTTTAAGAGTAATATATATTTTTAGCCGCTTCAAAAAAAAAAAAAAACTGATAAAATATATTATTTATATATGTGTGTATTATATACACTTAATCTACATATTTTATACACTTGTAGGCTAAGCGAATGCAATTAGTTTCGACCGACCGGCCAATTTTGTATTTTGCTCAATAATTTATCCTTAAATTTTCGTTTTGTAATCACGTAAATGTCATGTTTAAAATTACAAGTTTCAACTGCTATTTTTTTTCGTTAACTCTATATCCAGTTAAACAGATTAACTCAAAATAAAATGAGGAGTATATATTACAAGCTCATACTCGTTGTCATAAAATAATACTACAAGAATAACAGGTAGTTAAAGATGACTCATTTTAAATTCTGAATACGCCTTTAGTTAGACAAAAAGAATGGAGAAATGCAATGATATTTGCAGTGAAATTGAGAGGTTGATGAAGATGATGACTGGGTTGTGATGGTGATGATTATGTTTGGAATAGTCAAAAAATAGGACCATTGTTTTTCTCATTCCATTGTTTACAGAGCACAAACCAATAATCCAAGTCGTGTTCAGTGAGAGCGTGTATGTGTATATGTGTGAGTGCAGATGAAAAAAGAGGGAGGAGGGGACATTAAAGGGGAAAGTGGTCGTTAATTAGTACACCAACTGCCAATAGGAAGTTACTGTGAAAAGTATAAAAGGGAGTATTTTCACTTTGTTCCTTAAATGGTATACTAAGGACCACAGGAAAATTAAAGAAAATTTTTATTTTGTGTTCACACAACTGACATTAGTTGTATGAAACCTCTTTTTTGTCTCACAATTGTGTGGTCCCAGATGTGTAAGATATGGGTCCACAAATATGTGAGATAAAAAGAGGCCTCACACAACTAATGTAAGTTGTGTGAGACACAAAATAAAACCACTCACAAACTCGTTTCTTATGGTGCATGTAATACCTTAGAACAATCTCAAAACGTATATTTATATTGAAATGCAGACCTATTGTTATGTAGGAATAATAACACTTCTTACCTATTGAATGAAAACGTTGGACTCGTTTCTGCTTGATTATTAATATTAGACAAACTATTATATATATATTCTTTTTTTTTTTTTTACCATATCGTCTCTTTCTATATGTCCAGGGTTTTAATGAAGGATCAGACATAATAAGGATTCAAGTTTATGAGTTCTGAATTTATCACCAAACGCATAATTAGTCATTTAATATTTAATGAATTTTTGAATATAAATACATGATCTAAGCAAAACTAACCTATATAATTTTCTAAACGCTTATCTACTATTCTAACACCACCCCCTAGGAAAATGGGGGAATAGGGTTGGGGTCAAATGTAGAGCTTCCTTGAAGGTCTCTTTGTTTCTTTTCTCCTTTTTGTTGTTTGTTCATATAAGCGAAGGGATTCTTTAAAGGAAGTTGGTAGAGAGAAATAAATGAGATATTATATTTTTTGATCTTGCCATGCTCATAAAGCTATTTTCTGGCTTTGAGAAGGCAGTCGGCAGTAGCAAAGATTGATTTGACTAAAGAGAAAAAGTGGATATATAGAGAGAGAGAGCATTATATATATGCAACAATTAAAGCAGAAACAAAAAGCAGACAACACACGGAATTTCACTTTGCAATTCCATCCCATTATTGATGGACACACACACGCAATTGATTGCCAATGCAATTTCCCGTGATTACAGGGCCTTAGCTTTAACCATTCATTTCAATGAAACTTTTTTATATCGATCCTTTTTGGCTCACCCTACTTTCCCATTAAATAAGCTTACTACTAAATCCAATTGTTTACTTTCTAATGCCATGGAATATTTCGTTTTCCGACGAAGAATATGTAAAAAAAAATTCTTTTTTCTTTTTAATTGCTTGTCTAACACAGTTGAATTGACAAGCGCCTGATATCTCAAACTCATATGCAGTTCGAAATATAATTTGAATATATTGTCCTTCAATATAAATCATAGTAGCATAAACTTAGTCATTAATGTTAATTTATTATATCAGGAGAGGGGGCAGAAAAAGAGGAAGAAAATATTATATGCTACTCCCTCCGGTCCAAAATAAATGATTTTTTGGCCTTTTTTTTTTGTTGTCCAAAATAAGTAATTTTTTCAAATTTCAAGAATGAATTAATTATTTTTTTCCTACATTGCCCTTGGAGTAAATAGTGTTGGAGTATGTGTTAGGAGTATTTATGTGAAGAGATAGTAAAGGTTAATATGGTCAATTTTATTGCTAATTAATGTTAAAAGGTGGATTTCTTAGTCTGTGTGAAAACAGCTAAAATATCACTTATTTTGGACCGGAGGGAGTACTAATTTGGACCCTCCATCTCAACCATGAAAGACAGTAAACTGAGATGTCACCAAGTGATCTAGCCCTCAACCCCATTTCTCTAAATTAGTCCTATAACTTTTTTAGGGCATACTAATTATCAAGGATTAATTTGGACAACAGATCCACGGGGAAGTCACATTGTTTACCTCGAAAATACGAGTAACAACTAAATTTGGTTTGTGGTTTTAAAGATACGTGATTAGATTCAATACCAATTAATAATCAAGAAATATGAAGTAGAGATGAAAGAAATAAGTGAATCAAACAAATGTTACCCAGCAGTGGTGACCTCGAGGTAGGTTCCGAACAATAAGAACAATTAAGTAAGAAAAGTAAGGTAAGAACAGTAAAGCTGAAGGATAATTCTGATGAACAGTAGGCAAAAAGTAGAGAGTATATTCTTTTTTCAATGATTAGATGAACTTACAAATGATTAGGGTCCCCTTTATATAATAGGGGAATTCTAAATAAGGTATATTTCTATTTACAGTAAGGAATATTCTTGGTACAGTTATCTAACCGCCTGGTACGGAATAGTACAATCCTATTTCGGGATTTGCGCCGTGATCTTGGAGACGTGCCAGGAATCTAGCCCATTCTGTTACAAGTCCATAATGGTACTATTCCGGGGTCGAGCATACTCGACCTCGGTATGCATCATGCTTTGTCTTCGAACTCGGGTCTGGTCCCTCGAACTCGAACTCGACCTTGCTTGAGCTCAGACTTTGGACGACCCTCGAGCATATAGATTGAAGGCATACGATCTCGACTATATACAGATAGTCCCCGCGTTTCTTAGAGTAAGATGATAAGAAACGATATGATCCTCGCTTTCCCGGAGTCTTTAACGATGACGCCATTTCTGTGACGTAGGCGCTCGAAGTGACTGAAACGTCCCGTCGGTCCACTTCCCCAAAATATTAAATGCACGCCAGTACTGGTCGGCCACTAGCGTCGGCGAACCGTCGTTGCCCTTCTATAAATATGAGGCTATTCCTTTGAGTAAAGAACTTTACTCTTTCATTACATCTTTCCCTTCTTCATCTCTTTCTCTAATCATCTGTTTCCACCGCCTCTTTAAGTGCCGGAAAATGCCAGGTTCTTGTAAAAATACCACATTCCGACACAGTCTATATCCCTTAGCTTAAGATCATGGCTAAAACTTCCAAAACGGTCCCCAAAAAAGATAAAGCGTCGACTTCTTCTACCTCTCAGCCGGCCAAACCGATGGTGCTGCCGACTCTTGAAGAAATCACCCCCGGCCCTTGCGTAATTAAGAAGGATTTCAGTATAGAAAATCCCCCCGATGTCTCGGGCCGATGCGAGCATGCATCTCGATATATTAGTCTGATATCAGAGAAGAACCTCGAAACAATGAAGAGGGACTGCGGCTGGGGCGACGAGGTCTTGGTTCAGATCCCGAACCCCGAGGAAAGCATTACTGCCCACGTGGAGGGGTTTTTAAGTGTTTACACTTACCCCTTTACACTGGGTCCCCTCGATCCGGTGGTGATCGACTTCTGTAAAACATACGAAGTCACCCTCCGCCAGATTCAACCCCTCCTTTTGGCGCATCACGATCATGCTGCGCTACTTTTTCGAGAAAGCCGAGGGGTTGGAATTCACCCTCAACCACCAGATTCGATTGTATCGGCCCTAGCTATTTCGAGGGCTTATCAAGCTGCAACGTCAAACAATGAAAGCCTTCTTTTCCAGTAATAACGAAACCAAAGATCGAGGCTGGATGAGCCGGTTCGTCAGATTAAGGACTTCGGATGTCCTCCAAAGGGATAAAATTCCGTTCCCGGAGAGATGGAACTTTAATCGTAAGTGGAGTTCTTCTTCCCGGTATTTATTCATATTCAGCTTTCATGTCTCACAATGCCTTCACCCTTTCTGTAGCCACTGCCTGGGCACCTCACGCGGTCCCCGACCTCGAGGATTGCATCCGAGAATTAGCTGCTACCTGCTCATACGATGAGCGCAAATGGCGTGAATTATCGAGGGGCGAGTGGGAGGCCAAACATCATGGTAAATTCTCTTCCCAAGTTTCTAATATTTTTCATTTGCTGGTGGCGTCAACTTATTCACGTTCACTTGTGCAGGCATCGGAGATGTATCCGAAATGAGGCCGGCTCCGCCCGGGGAAAAGACTGCGCCCTCGATCCCAAAATCGGGGAAAGACAATAAAAGAAAGAGGGCTTCTAAGCCCGAAGACTCCCAAGATGAGGTGGTACCTGCATGGAAGCTGAGGAGAAAACTCATTCGTGTGGACCTGGA